CGTTAGAGGATGAAGCGGTAGTTGATAATTGAGATAGTAGATAAGAGGGAGGTAATTAAGTATTATCAATAGCTGATTTGAAGGATACAATACTTTTGTATAAAAATGGAGGAAAGTAAGATAGTAGATAGATAGTAGATTGTAGTGAGAAAGAGGGAAGGACAGAGGCGAATAGTTATAATAAGCCGGGGATGATGTGCAGGTGGCGAGGAGAACCAAGAAACAAGCGCAACTCCGAACTGCTTCTGATTTCGACCCCAACAGAGAGTAAGAGAGAAGAGGAGTGAGAGAGGAAGAAGAAGTGGAGCTGCGGGTGAAACGAACCAGCATTGGCCCAACTGCGACGATCCCTTGAACTAAAAAAGGATCGGTGTGTGTTGGTGTGTCTCTTGTTCTCCATATGATTATCCCTTTGACCAAAAAAAGTTATGAAGAGTTTAACTAGGTTTGTCGTGGATTTGCATGGTTACACGAGAAAGATTAAGAAAAGAAAGCTGTCTGTGCTGGCCGATGATACAAAAAGAACTTCTACGATAGAATCAATTGACAACTCATGCATACATCCATTCCCTTACATCCCAAACTACTGTACTGTTAGTTCCTAGGGTCCATGCAAGTCGATCCCAATCTCATGCAGCCCGGATAAGAATAGAAACCCTCCCAGGCTCCCACAGTACAACAGCAAACAAACCAGGAACCAACAGTTAATCTAGTTCAGGAGTAACCTGAACCTCCCCTCGGCGATATCCCACGCAAAACAAATTAAACCTCAAATTTCTCCGACAAGTGGGACGAAAAGCCATTGCCAGTTTTTTTTTTCTGCCCAGTTCAAACCGCTGGTCAGGGCTGAAAATCCGGGCATTGAATTCTAACGGCGGTTTGAGGTTCCTGGTATGGTTCCATTATGTTGCGCCCGCGTGTCGCAGATGGGGGTTCCTAGTGCACACTAACCAAGAACTAAAAAAAATCTAAACTAACTATACATAGAGCAGGGGTTAGTTACGCAGTATCTAAGTTTTGCGGGTTGATTCTCATCCCCCGACTCTGCTGGCTGCATGATGGTTCCTGTGGCTTGAATCCTTCCTGGCCTCGGCTGCTGCTTGTCTCCCCACTCGCCCCATTCCTTTTTCTCCGAATGTCCCGGGCAGAGACAGTGCACGTTTGTGGTGATTTAATTTTACTACATGGTAGCACGGGCATCAGTCTGTCAAGTAATCACGGACAAGTGTTTCTCCTGACAGCTCAATTGATGTCTGTCAGCTTGTGTCCCTGTGAAATTAAATACATCGCTTAGGTTGTTGGCATAGGGGCCAAGATTCTACACTAGATACAGTAATAGTATACACGAATGGAGGGTACACACCACCCCCTTTCCAGCTGCCCATTTCTCTCCCCCAGCTCAATCGTTACTCTTCGCATCGAGCTGGTCCTCAGGAATAAGCCCCCCTGGCTCATAGTCTAACCAGCCTTCCTCTTCTTGCCCCTGTGCGATGGCTGCTAGTCGTCTCTTTCGCTTGCGTCTCTCCTTGGCTGCGGCCCGTCGGAGTTTATGCAACGCCTGCCGTTCCATCTCTGCCTGGGTCGGTGTCTGTCCCGAGCGATGAAACGACTCCTCCTTCCCGTTCCCCTCCTCTTCCTGCTCCGTCGAATCCGGCGGCTCGTGAGTATTACTGATCTCGTCCACAAGACATCCCACTGACCCATCCTGGATCTGCGGATGATGCCTGAGGCGCGACGCGAATGGGTCTTCTGATGGCGAACAGAGCTCCCGGATGGCAGCTCGTGTCTCCTCGCCGGGGCGGATCCCCCGTCCCAGCAGATCTTGCAGGTACATGTACCCGGACTCAAAGTTGCCTGCTTCCAGGCACATGACGATGAGATGCTCGAATGTTCCTTGGTCCGGGATCACGCCGAGAGATGCCATCTCCTTCGCGATGAACATGCCCGCCTCGGTATTGCGCGCCCGTCGACACATGCCGAGGAGAATGTTGTAGACAGTAACGTCGGCCTTGTCTGGACAGAGCGCATAGAGTTCTTTGTAAAACGCGATTCCCTCGTACACCACCGACGGGTTATCGAGGGCTTCGTGCTCGCACATCTCCAACACCACTTTGGCGCAGCCAAGCGGCACCGTCAGTTTGGTGGCCTTCAATTGCTTCAGCATTGTCCATGCGCCACGTGGGGTCGTTCTACTCTGCAGCAGATGCGTGAGAATGGCACGCGTGGAGCGGTGCTCTACCGCAATGTCCGCCATATGCATCTTACACAGCACCTCAAATGCAGAATACAAAGACCCCGACACAGCATGGGCCTCCACCATTTTCTCGTAGTCATCCAATTGAGGCTGCACATTGACCTCGACGAGGAAGCGGATCACCGATGCCGCCAGCTCGGTATCTCCAGCGCGCGCCGCCACACTAAGGACATTGCTGCACAGCGGATAACCAGGATGAAGATATCGCAGCTCCACCATCTGTCTCCAGATGTACCGTGTAGTATCGTAGTGCAGAGCAGCGCTCGCCACCTCCAGCACGTACAACCACAATTCCGAGCTCATGTCTAGACCCTGGCTTGTCCGTGAGCGCATCAGCCGGACCACCTCGTCGAACTCTCCAAAGTCGCAAAGGTAATATATGAGTAGGCTATGCAGCCAATTCTCAACGACCATACCCTTCCTCTCCATCTGCTCGACATGATCCAACGCCAGCTCGAACTGGTGCTCCCGAATCAACCCAGCGACCACAAAGTGCCATCCGGCGGGGCTCAACGGAAGCCATCGGTCTCGAAGCGTGCGCACAATCTCCTGACGTAGGAGGTAATCCGGATGAACCGCAAGGACCTGAAAGTAAAAGCGAGCACGTCAGCAAGTGCCTCGTTTCCAGACACGAAGATCATACCTGTAGCGCTGCATGAAGTGTCCCCGAATCAGCCGGTATCCCATTTTCCTCCATCTCCTTTAGTAATGCGCGAACAGCCTGTGGCGACCCACGTTCGGGATCCGAATTAGCAAGAATCAACCCCCGGTAATGTCGCATCTCCGGGCGGACATGGCGGTCTCGGATTAGAACACGCAGGATTTGCGTTGCACTTAGAACTCTCGGATATCGAGCTACTCGCTCCTGTAGCCTATTTTCTAGACGTTGCGAAGGTAGGTGTTTGAAATACTTGGGTACGCCTGGTGGCGGCTTGGTCAATCGCTCCATTGGCGATAAAAGGTCCCCTGGGCGTACATTATCCTGCGCGCCTGCATCGTCAGGATCGGAGGGTTGTTGATCGGAGGATGATGAGGAATTAGTAAAAGTGTGTCTATTGTCTTCGACAATTTCAATGGCTGCGTCGGTCGGTCGTGGGGTAAGATTGGTGAGGCATCGTCGCGGAGGATCCGAGATTGAGCTTCGTAGAGCGGTTATGCGATCATGTTTAGGGATGCGTCTCCCTGCTGTAAAGGAAGGTGTAGCTCGATTGAAGGTCGCAGCGTTAAACGACGGACAAAGGCAATACCACAGTCCATCGAGTACCAGGGTCGTTCGCGGCATCTCGAGCCCTTGCAATGACGGAAGATTCTCTACAACTTGGTCGGTCTCCGAAAGAAGCTCTATATCTGCACGTGACCGTGACGCTATGCATGCAAAGTTACAGAGACGAAAGCCTACGGACAAGGCTCAACGAATTTTGACTTTTTTTTGTGTAATCCGTACACTACAATCATATTGGAAAAAAGAAGGATGCCTAGGTGGCATGTTTTCCCATTGACAAATACAACCAGATACGCCAAGGCCATGCTCGACTAACCCGTCAAAACGGACATTTCCTAGCGAACTCAATCCCTACTAAACCTTGCCCCCCGGGGTATCGCTCATAATCTCTCTCATTCTTTCGTAGATAGAAAACCAATAACACTTCAAGCGTCTCTGCCACCACGGCCGCGGCCACGTCCACGACCCCGGCCTCCACCACGACCTCGGTCACCCCGACCACCCTCACGCGGTCCGCGGTTGCGATTTTGCGATTGGTTCGCCTGTTGCTCCTTCACCATCTCTATGATTTCTTCGGGGATTCGCAGGTATTTGATCTATAAGCGATTAGGGGGAGGAACTGAGGGGCGGCATTGAATACGATTCAGGGTGGACGCAGGATTGCAACTCACATTGTTTCCTCTGACGTAGACCTCCGGTAGCCGGAAGAAGCGATCACCTTCAGGGCTCGTCTGAACAACTTCCTTCAGTATCAAGTTCATCCAGTTGTCGCAACTGGCAAGGTGTCCGTTGAGGGTTTCGCCGTTCTTGAGTTCCACGAGCATGGGGTGGCCTTGCGCGGCCGTCAGGAGACCGAGAGGTAACTGTTCATGTGAGGGTTAGTAACTACAGCAGATATAATAGATTTTGGTAGGATTCAGAGGTGATTACCATCTTGCGATCTTGTGATCAATATGGACGGATCGACGTTGTGGGCGGATCGAAACACAGATGGAGCCAACTCCGTGAGAGGTGAAAAGCAAAGGATGAAAAGACTCTAATAAAGTCGCCGTATTCTGTCAAAGGAAAAGAGGAAGTTCAAAGCGAAATAGAAGCCTTCTTGACGACGTCAGAGTAAATATGAATCCAAGAAAGCTCCCCGCGAGCTCCCCAGCAGCGGTGCTCGCAACGACGGAGAGTGCCGGATAAACATGGGGCCGAGATCCGCCCGGCGCTGCTGCTTATCTGGATTGGCACCAGTAAGAGCAAAGTAACGTGCCCTACTTTAGAGTTGTGACTGTGATTAGTGTCTGGCTATAATACTCACTAATTAATGAGACAGGGTTCTTTAGTAAACTCCGTCTGTCTCCGGTCTTGGGAGAGGAGGCCCGAGGGCCAAGGATGTCCATTCATTTAACTCTGTCCTAAAGCCCGTATGACTCTCACTCTCTGTCCTAGGTAGTTTGCTCATGAATACAACATCGTCTGTACCTATTTACCAATCTATTACTACATCACCACTGTCTCACTCTCTACAATCCACCCCAACTGCGCCAACTACATGAACCTATAATACCCTCCATCCCATGTCTCTCTTCCCACGTCCATGTAGCACCTCCCACACAACCACCACCATGCAATGGCTACTAACAAAGTTAACTCTAATATGTCTTACCACCACCAACTTCACCCGCCTGGCAGCCGGTGCACCCATTCCTCTACCATCACCATCATCCACTACAATTTCAACAGCAGCCGGTTAGTCCCCCGCTCACTACTATCTACCATATCCCACATTCTAAACAACCCTTATAGACACCCACATCATGAAGAACGCCAACAACGACAACCCCAATCACAATGACCACATCCACACCCTCCTCAAATTCCAGTGGCTCGCCTCCCTCCTGAAAAAGCTCTCGGCCCTCACTCTCCGCGACTACTTCATCAACCTGAGCGTCCTCATCTGCATCATTGCGCTTTGCGCTCTGGCATACCGAATCGGCAGCAACACAATGCGTTGCCAGCGATGCCGAGTAGACCGGGCTGCCCAGCGCGAGGAGCGGAAAGCTCGGAGGGCGTACAAAGCCGCTGCGAGGAGACATCGATGGAAGCAATGGTGGGAAGGGAAGACTTCTTACTATCAGTATCAGTGCCAAGATCAGGGGTTTAGCTATGATGATGGGGCAGTTGTGATGGGGTCTGTTGGTGTGCGGGAAAGGGACGTGGAGATGGGAAGGTTGTCTGATGATGAGGGCGAGGGTGTGTTTGCTGGGGCGGATGCTCCTGTTCCTGTTACTATGCAGGCGGAGATACATGGTTTCAGACAGGCGTTGGAGTATGTGGGAGAGCTGGTGAGGGAAAGTGCACCGCCGCGGGCCAAGGTGGCAGTGGCTCAGGAAGTGGGTGGTTATGATGTGGATGTTGGTCTGAATGGGAAGGGTGGAAGTGGAGAGGAGTCGGATACGGAGGCGTCGTCGACGGTCGGGTTGGCGACGGTTACTTTGTCGACGGGAACGAGTAGCTTGAAGAGTGTGGATTGTAAGTCGTTGTCGGGGACAATAGATACCCTGGATAGTATGGGGTCGCCACCGCCCAGCTATCATTCATGAGGGACTATGGCTTCATGTGTAAGAATACTGATCGTGGAGTATGGGAGTTCAGGATATGGTTATGGCTCATGGCAAAAGGGTGGTTTTAGTATTTCATAATGTTTAATATTACAATGAAATGCTGGGTGAACGGCATGCATATAGGAACATTAGACGCATCGCTCACACCTTTGTCCGCTTGGCTGCTTCTTCGTTCTCGGCTTCATCTTCTTCATCTTCCACTGTGAGCTTTCGCTTTACCCGCTGATCTCTGCTGCTTGCATCGCCCAGGACAGCGGTCGACTCTGGGGTTGCAAGCACACCGGCCTCCTCTTCCTTGGCCTTCAGTGCTTCCTCGCGGGCGTTGAAGGCCTTGAGAAGAGCATCATAGCCCTCCTCGACATTCGTCACGGTCTCCTCCAGCTTCTCGACGCGCTCACTCGAGTCCAGTTGGATGAGTAGATCCCGATGACGCTTGTAGAGACGCTGCTTAGTGAGCATGCGCCACCAGTAGTATCGGCGGTCGTTGGGATCCTCGGCATTGTGCTTCTTGATTAGTAGTCGGGACATATTGGCTCCCCCGGCTAGGCGATTCTTGGCAGGTATTTGCCCCAGAAGATACATCTCCATAATGTGAGCAAATTGAGTGGAGGCAATCTTGAATTTTGAACGGATGTCATGCAACAACTTCGTAGGGATCAGTGCCGATGTTGGGACGCGTCGAGGGCGCTGCCTCTTTGAGAGCTCTCCGTAAGGGTTGGGATTGATGTCTACCTTGTGCCCGAGGAACTCCGGCAACAAGATGTGGTAGTCTGCAGTGTCGCGGAGGGCATCGAAAGCCTCGTTTGGGTCTTCGACAGTCAACTCGGTGATTGTTGGGTCCTTGAAGCATGCGGCGTGGATGGTGGTGTAGAGATGAGTCCCATGTCCCGAGCCTTGGTGAGGAGGCAAAACCAAGAATTGAGCGATTCGCAGCCGAGCCGGCAGCTGAGCAGGTCTGATCTCGGGTGCTGGGAATGGATCGTTCACAACTGTCCGACCCTGTGTATTGTCTCGCTGGTAGAACCACCAGCGATAAGTGGTCGCATATCCGACAATGGAGTACTGGGAAGCTGTTGGCGTAGGCGGTTTCACTTTCTCATAGCTTCAACTTCGTTAGCTGTAGAAAAACATAGGACGGGATAAAGCATACACAAAGTAGACTGTCCATCTCTCAAGTGTCCATTCAGGATCATCCGTGACCAAAGGTGTACCGGCTTCGATGAACAGCGATACAAAGATTTGCGCGCGGTCCAGTAGTCGTCGAACTTGAGGATCAGCGAGAGAGCCGGCCCAAATTTCGTAGTTTCTGTCTCGAGTGACATAGCTGTGAACGAGCTTGCCAGGTGGTACAAAGTCCTTTGCATCTTCGTCCTCCTGGACAGCCTTTTCATAGTCGGGAAGTAAACCGAAGGCCTCTGTAATAATGCGCCTGAGTTAGCCAAAAGGGAACAGAGGTTATTCCTATCTGGAACAGACAGCGACCAACCTTCCGGAACCCAGGGTTTCAATGTTTCCAGCAGGTCGACAGCGGCAATATCGCCAACGGGCTTGAACTTCTCATCGTAAGAGATATTGATATTCGGGCGGAGGTCATGGGCTGCAAACCGCAAGCGGATAATCAACCCTTTATAACCGAATATTTGCTCCTCATCGCCGAAGATGGGATATGTGAACTGAGGGTGAAAGCTGGAAATCGTCTTGACTTTCGTCTCGCCGGGTTGGACGATCGTCAGATGGACGGCATCGTTGGCGTCGCAAGTCCCTAAGTGAGGCCAATTCAGTCAGCCGACTCGCAACATGGAATATGATGACAATGGAGTGAGAAAGGGGTATAATTACAGTCGCCTTCACTCATTGTGCCAGTTGCCGAGTGGAGAGCCAACTACTGTAGCAGAGACTTGGGTTAGAGATGGCTTGAGTGGGAGAGCGCAGGAGCTTTATTTGATTGCCTAGAAGATGGCGCGTGTTGCTCTTTCGAACCTCGCGTTGCGCGGAGCTAGCTAGCTATAACCGTTTTCGGTTTAGCGCCGGTAGGATTCCTCCGCAGTCTGTCAGATGAGATGATAATGAGACAAAGAGCTCTGCCACCAAAAAAGAAAAAGAAAAGAAATCTCATTAGGTATGCATGGAGACACTTCAATCCCTTTACAATCTTAGTCTTAGCATAAGTTTCGCAGTAGTTGTGCTGGCTTTCTATGAATGGCTGCGACAAAATATATCCAAACTGGCAGCCTCATATGACGTCGACGTAGGGATTAACATACTAACCTCGCATACATGAATCTTCAAGAACTATTTGAAAATGGATTCATTTGAGCACGAAGTCAAGACTCTGTACTCTAGGAGGTAGAGTATCGGTGGTCCGAAAATCAGGTGCTGTGCCTCGGCTCCAGGTCCCCGGCCCATTACTAGACGACTCATTGATTTGTTAGTAGTAGTAGTTCTTAAGAACTACAATGGCGGGGCAAGTTATCTCTGGCACCCCGCAATTGATTCCACTGCTGCTGCGATAAACATAAACCCCAGACTGTCATACAACTTGCCCAGTTGATGCCATTGGCTCTCTACACAGTCATCTTAACGCAAATTCACAGCTCCAATAAGGTCGTTCAAATCTTTGGCACCATCAACATGTCAGTGTACAGCTCACAGCGGATAGCCTTGATCGGTCTGGGAACCATCGGCATATCCATGGCAGCGCTTCATCTCTCTCGTGAGAGCAACATAGTTGATGTCTTCGATACCAGACCGGATTTCGAGCAATATATCCATAAGACGCTACCGATTTACATGAGCGAGCTGCCATCACCAAATACCGAACCTAGGTCAAGTCCTGAATCTCAACCATCAACGTCATTGGTAGCGTCTCTTGTCTCTTCTGGCCGTCTGCGAATTCACTCGACCCTAGAAAGCGCATGCGCGTCGGCGACCATTGTCCAGGAGCAAGGACCGGAAAATGTTGACTGGAAACAAACTACCTGGACCCGGATCGAAGCAGTAGCCCCGTCTTCTGCGCATTTCTGGACAAGCACTTCTGGAATTGCTGCTTCTATTCAGCAAGCCAAGATGCAGGACAAATCTCGCTTGCTTGTTGTGCATCCTTTCAATCCACCGAATATAATGCCTCTTCTCGAAATCGTACCGGCGCCAGAAACTTCCGCTGAGCGGGTGGAATTTGCTCGTGAATACTTCTCTCTACCTGGATCGAGACATAGGCCTGTGGTCATTCGAAAAGAGATTCCAGGGTTTGTGGGAAATCGGTTAGCCTTCGCCCTACTACGGGAAGCTTGCTATCTGGTTCAGGAAGATGTTGTAGATGCAAAGGACCTGGACACGATACTGATGGCTAGTTTGGGACCACGATGGGCTGGAAACGGTGTGTTTGAGAGCTATCAGTATGGCGGGGGAGAAGGTGGCATAGGTTCCTTCTTGAACAAGCTTGGTGGCACTATGCAAACCATATGGGATGGGCAGGGGAGAATCAACGTGGAGGGGGACGAAAGAACGGAGTGGAAGGAAAAGGTCATTGCACAAGTGAATGAAGCCTATGGAACGGTGTCTGCGGAACAAATCCAGATAAAGGAAGCACGGCTGAAGGATATCATTGGGATCCAAATGAAGGATTACAACCGCCATGGACCTGAAGTATGAGGAACAGACATGATGTTAACCCTCCCGGAACTGATGCCCACGGAAGTCTGGATATTGCGGCCTGTAAACTCCCAGGCGACTGGCTAAATCGATAATTCACCGATGCTTGGAAGCCATCAACATGTACTCATAGGTGGATTGAGCAAATTCAAAATAACCTTTCATGTGTTTACCCCATACATTGTAAGTAAAAGAAGAACATGAAGCCGAAGAGATAATTATAAACCATCCCTGGGGCGGCAGTGGGTCTCCCGTGCCTCGGACTGGGGCGTGCCTTTCCCACTGCGGCAAATCGCAATCAATCCATAATCAGGGCCGTCCACCTCCGCCACGTTTTCAGTTCTTCTGTCTCCTACCGCCTTGGAACACCTGCTTTCCGCCCGCTCTCCATCGTCTCCCCTGTCTCACTTGCTTCTCCGGGCCTATTTCCAGCTCGCCTGTCCGCTTTTCTATTTAGACGCCATCACCGCTGCCGCGGGATCAGGGGCATATCGAGAATTTTGGTCTTGGAGTTGGCAACATGAGTGAAACCTTCTAGAGCACGGACGAAGCTCTGGAACAAGAGGCCGATCATGGAGGGACTCTTCACTTTGCTCGCATTGAGCATTGTGATGGCCATTACGTGAGTCGACTACCCCTTGGAACTTGTCGCCTGCTCGGTGCGAACTGTCAATGCTAATTTGCTTTTCCCCGCTGCATCACATAGATCATTTGTCGTGGGATCACTACCGCTCGCCTTCACACTTTCTCCTTCTCAGCTGAGATTGATATCCTCCCTTGGTATGGGAGTTCTGGTTGGGACATCTTTGATCGTTATTATTCCGGAGGGAGTCGAAACCCTATACAGCGCAAACTCCCTTAGCAGTCGGAAAGAACTTAGCAGCCGATCGACAACAGCCGTCAATTGGCAACACCAGGCTGTACCTGTGACCAACTTCCCGAGGACATTGGAAGGACTAGATTCCTCTGATGTCGAACTTACGCCTCGATCGGTGCTATCCGACCTGCCATCCGCACCTGTCACGGTACCTACAACGCATTCTACACTAGATGAAAGGCCCAGAATTATGGGACGCAAGGACGATACATCGGACGATCACACCGGCGAGGATCACGACGAAGATAACTCGCCCCACGCTTGGATAGGAATTGCACTCATTAGTGGCTTTATACTGATGTACCTCATCGACAAACTGCCCGTCTTCGCGTCATCCTCCAAACAGGAGCGAATTCCCTATCACATTTCGCTGGATAATTTGGGTTCCGGCCTGCGGCGTAATTCGTCGCCGTCACGCGAGGGGGGCTTGCTTGACGCCGGAAATATTCCCAGGAGAAGCCACAGCTTTGCAACGACAACTGGACTTGTCATTCATGCTGCCGCCGATGGAATTGCCTTGGGTGCATCT